AGAGAGACATCTCTGAGCCTTGCAATCCAACCTTTGCATCCTCACACCCCCATCCAAAGGAAGACTGCCTGTGCGTGATCTTGGGCCCATGCTGGGGTGCACGGCGGGGGGGCGCCCTGGGAGCCAGGGGTCAGGGGCAATTAGGCCACTCAGGCACTTACATGGCTCCTGTATGGAGGTGCACCCTCCTTGGAGTGGTCAATGATCTTGTCAGGGACAGAAAAGTTCAATGACTACAAGGGTAAGTTTAATTATATGTTGTCGCTGACTAGCAGTGGTTACGATGGTACAATTACACATGTAATTTATCAGCAAGATACTTGCATACATAATAAACCAAAAGCAAAACATTAAATTTCAGTGGAATCTAAAAATATAAAACTGGGCCGTGATGTGGAGCACACTCACTTGCGAGGGGATGGAAGAGCGAAACCATGGGTGTCCCCTCCCTGTCAAGAGCAGGCAGTTCCCACCCACAGTGACCACGTGGCTTCCATCCCAGAAATGCACTCCCCACCCACCACGTAAATCCCAAACCCCCAGTGGTGTGTCAACAGCACGCCTTCACAGAGGAAACAGGACTGAGAAACTGGCTTAAGAAACTCACCAGCCCTTCTGACACCCTCTGAACTCGCTAACCAAGGTCCCCAGAGGGTGCTGGGGAGACCACATGCCTGGCAATGTCTGGGGGTTCCTAGCCCTGGTATGAGCCAGAGGAGAAAAAGTTAATTACCTGAAAATGATCTATACTTTCATTAATTTTGAGTCGAGAGGAAGAAAAGAACCAAAAAAATTACTGAATAGAAAAAAAATGAAAATAATAACAGCAACTCACATTTATTAAATGCCTACTTAGCGCCACTGTTGAGTGTATCACAGAGTGTGATCTATTGCACTGCCACTGCTGTTATTCCCAATTTACAGATGAGAAAATGGAGGTGTAAGTCCAGTGACATGCTCATGTAGTAAGTGGGTCCTATGTCAGCATTCCAACCTGGGAAATCTGGGTCCAGAGCACGCATGTTTTTTACAGGTTTCCAGGCCTGGAATGGCAACTAATTGATCTCTCTTTCTTCTTCATTATATTCTCACTGGTACTGCCATGATGTCCATTGCTCCATAATTTGACAGTCAAGGATGGGGTGACCAGGACTATTCTCATCACATGAGCTGTTTCCTAGTAGATGGGTACATTGTATACACCATGCCTGGGGATTGGGGACCCTACTCCCCAGAGTCTCAGTTAATCTCTTAAAGATGGTCAAGTCTATACATTCATCCATCTTCTTTTTTTTCAAAAATATCAAGCGTGATGAGTCTGAAGAGGATACACTAGAGCCTCTAAAATACATGAAATATACTGTATGCTACAGTTTTGCCCAGGAGATGGTCATTTGGTCACACGGACAAGATGGGAGGGCCAGTTTTCTGAGACTCATGAATTCCTCATCCATGCTCTACTTTGAGAGCGATCACCTTCTCCTGCTTTGTCTCCATGTCTTCAGTCCAGGTCATCCATATGTATGCCCTATGAGACTTTTAAACATATTTTTACAACAAAGTGGTTTTCAGCTCACAGAGATTGCCTAGCATGATCTGAGACATGTTTTTCTCTTCTATTAAAAAAAAACTAGATTGCAAAGAAGAGATAATGAGAATGCCTTTCTATAACTGGCCATTTTGAAATTTAAAAAAAAAAAATTGGGAGGCCATGGGGTGAAGAGATGGCAAAATAGGTATTTTCTTTGGCCAACTGGGCCCACTATTGTAAGGTTTATATCAGAGCTGGAGATAGAATCCTATCTCCCACCCATCGGGCCATTCCTTCATCTCTCCACCTACCCATCCATCCATCCACCAATTATCCATCCACCAATCATCCATATACCCATCCATCTACACAACCACTCACCCATCCTTCCATCTACCGATTATAACCTACTGTGTTTTAGGCACCATTCCAGGAACTAGGGAGGTTAACACTGAACATAAAAGGTCCCAGTCCTCATCAGGCACACCACTGCTGTAGGGCAAACAGACCAGAAATAGGCAAAGAAGGAGGAGGTCACCAAAAAGCTTTCCTGCAATACACATCACAACATATTTGGAATCTTCCTCACACAAAGGTAAATTAAATCCATTTGCTCATTTGTTGTTATCATCAAAGATCAGTTGTAAAAACAAACAAGAGTGTCTCATATGGAAAATGTTAATGGGTTCAAAAATGTATTCCAATGTGGCGGAATCATCTGAGGGTAAATACTGCAGGCAATATTTTTATGACAAAAGCTTTATTTCTCATCTTCTCTATCCTTGATTTAAATATATACATGTATGTGGGTGCACACATATCAAGATTCAAGTATTTCAATATAAATTTTGTATTCAAATACTTTTCCTGATTTCAGTTGATTGCATATTTCGAGCCAATGTTGCAACAGTAATTTTTGTTCTGAATCAAAAACAAGGATCTCTCTCTCTCTCTCTCTCTCTCTCTCTCTCTCTCTCTCTCTCTCTCTCTCTCTCTCTTTCTCTTTCTCTCTGCCATGCTCAACACCTTCCTCCCCCTCTTCCCTGCCCTGCTGCCAACAC